AAAGTTTTGAGTCGCCTTACAAACGAGTGTCCTAAAATAACAACTGTTGTTTTTTTTGGTTTTTTGGCCGCGCACATTTACGCGTAATAAAATGACGGTCGAATTAAGCAAAAGAATCCGCCGCAGATTCAAAACGCTTCTAGGAATGAAATTCAAATGATATGCCACACCAAACCACCTTCATTCAAATCTTGGATGTATTAAGGTTGATAAATATACCAAGTGAAGCGGAGATCAATGGAAAATGAATATTATTTCCACAATTTACCACACTAAGAAAGACCACTTACATTTCTGTTGTGACGCCTTGAAGATGGAGTGACGTCACACCTCGTCCAACAAGAAGTGACATCACATTACGCACATCAGCCCCGTTGATGGCGCACTATCGCTTGCGTTCCAGCCACAAAGCCTATTGCTTCCGCAATACGTTATATTTATTATAATTAATCGCATGTTTTACACAACTGATGCAATTATGTGCTTAATTATTATCACAGTATGAACTGATAACATTCCGCAATCAGAAGTAAATTTTATAGTCCACAGCATTTGGCACTACACGAACTGATATCTGACAGTAGGTAGTATTAAGTGTGTAAAATATCATTCCTAGACTTCACTGGATGAGTCCCCGGGTGACGAGTGAATGGGTGTCTGGGCATATTAATGACAGACACAATAAACAATGTGACGTCATAGTATTTAAACTGAGACAGCGTTGTCCTATGGTGTATCGAGATTGTACCAATAAAGCAAGTGCGCGTTTTGGGATTACAATGACTTGACTTCGTATGATCTGTTTGATGAAGTGAACAGTATTCAGAGGGTTATTAACTGGGCTCTGATACATTAACAAATAAACTGGACTGTGTCTACAACCACCCGTGTAGAGACATCATAGGGAGACATTTAGGCTGATTAACAACACCTTCAGACTATTTGATTGTATAGTTGCAGTCACTGTGTTGACTCTAGTAATATATGATACCTTAATTAACTTTTTGTATGAAATAATTGAGTTCATTTTTTTTATTAGCTGAATCAAAGAGTGAATGGGTCACTGGGGAAATACGCTTTTCATGCGCTAGTATCCGATCTAGTGCCTTTAGTTAACTGTTTTCAATTAAGTTGAGGAAGAACTTCTTGTCTTATGCAATGTGCAAATTCCCACAGCAGTTTACATGTTATGTACAAGTTATGTATATGTATTACCTTTCATGTAATGACGACATTGTATTCGATATTGTGTAATGCTTTGATTTTAGCTACATTGCTTCATAGACTGATGGATTATATAAATACTACATTATGACAAGCGGTAATCTAAAAAACGCCGCCCTGGCTAAACGCCCGGACAATCGCTCCGGGTAAACAGTTGGATAAAGCATCAATACATCTATCGTCGTATACTGTTATTCTGATACATTTTACTATTCAGGCGAATTAAAACATTATTGTTTATAATTTTAAATGAGCTAGTAAGCACTAAATTTGCTTGTTGAACGACTACATATTTTGTTTATGTATGTTTTGATCAAGTTAAAGATAATTGCGCGCTGACATAGGAAGTCTACTTTTTTGAATATTATCAAAAAAAAGTCGCAAAACCAAGTCAAGTATATCTACTTCATGGAACTAAAGTTGCGTGAATTCCAGATCCACCCACAAAACGTATAGTTGTTTCACTGACTATTCGTGAGAACAGAACTATTGTGATTGAACATGAGTTAAATTATATATCCAACAGTTAAAGTTACCGTCATTAAGTGTTTGTCAGAGTTGAGGTATCACTGATACTGTTGATGAGTGGGACTTAATTATGACAACCAAAGTTGGAATAAACCCTTTTTTGTAAATTATATTATATTTACTGAATGAATTGTTCCCGTGAAACCTAGACACGCGTCTGATGTGAGCATGACACCCATAAAATTCTACTTACACAGATATTTGCATTAGTGATTATTGTCTGATTGCATTCGTTCATTGGTCTTACATACTGTCATAGTTTAGTAGTGCGCTCTGACTTTGAGGATTCTAGCTGCTGGTAGACAACACACTCACATAGTGAGTAAAGTAAATCAAACCGCCATACATTTACCCATGTGCCACAAGATGTCTGTTTAGTCGACGTTAGTCACAAATATCATGAATATATGGCATAGAGTGTTTATAATAGAATTCTTTTATGCAAACTCATAAATCGTGCATACATAGTAAATATTGCTAAGAATAAATAAAAATAGTCTTCACTATACTCTCATTTCCAATAAATATTCATTTATTCAATAATCATGAACCGGAAAGGGCAGTTTTGTCACAGTAAATAATAGAAATTCATTGCAAACTATATCAAGCTGGTAACAACTGAGATGTCGTTATCCTAATGTACGCCGAAAAAACGGAAATATAAACTTTTGAAAACAAAAGCAAAGAGTGTTGTACTACATTATATTTGACAAAAGAAAACTAATTTTAACTGAGCTGATGATATATATTAACGTTTGTAAGCTGCTGTACTACTGAGTTGACTAACTCCAAACTATTACTCTGCCTAACCCACTAGGGTTGAAGGGATTGTTTTCTGTTCTATTCTTTGTACTGCATGTCTTCACCATACTCTAATTACATTATATAAGTTGCTGCATTATTCAATAATAATGGATGAGTCAGATGTGTCCATTTTTAGACTGCACTAAAAGAAAGTTAATTATTGAAAATGACCGTAAATGGTGTGACATGTACGGTCTTGATTACATGTTTGGCGGTCTCTGTTTTCCATCTACCATGATGTTTGCAAAATCTATAGTTTGCCCAAAATCCCACTTTCATTGTCCCATCTCTGTCAAAATTTTAGATTGAATCACTTTTATTCCGATATGATTATGCTATATAATACATTGTTTATAGTACATGGTGGGAGTGTCCTTTTTATTTTTTTGAGTGGATATTATATAACACAATGTTCACTCATGAACCTCGTCACTGAGCTCAAACTTTATCATCAGTAATTCGCGAGTGTCTGGGTGTCCTCATCCGGAATAAACTTATTATATATAAATAAACAAAATATTTCTTATCTAGTTTGAATATAGAATATTAAATGCCTTAGTTTTGTTTTAAAAAATCACCAGTACACGAGAAAAGTGTCTATAGTGAAACCAGTGAATCATTTGTTCACTAATGTTTGGTGTAAATTAACTAAGCATTCGTTTTTGTTTTTTGTTGTTGTTTTGTTTTTTCTTTGTCACAGCTCCCGGAACATCCATTGCGGCGTTCTGGCCCAGCTAAACGTGCACGCCTAAAGCAATCACCTATTTTTTTGGATATAGTAATATGTCGAATGTTATAACAAGATGACAAGGTGATTGACGGAGTTTATAAACTACTTATCATCATTAACTGAATTGAGAGGAAATGCCTCTGCTTTAACGCATCTTATTTTCAATTATACCGAATTAACCATACGTTGTAAACTCGTTGTCAGTTGTTAGGGTAAGTGTCAGTTGCATTGCAAAGTAATTAATTTGGTTTTGACATACATTTAAGTGTAAGAATTTGAAACTAGCTTAGCGGACATTACTAAATTGAATGCTAGTGCTTGAAAAGGTTCATTTCTACAGTCTGTCATCCACTCTTAGATGTATCTGCTAAAGTTAAATACTTTCTTACACGTTTAACCATTATGTAGTTTTAAAAGTTGTATACTTAGCGTTAACTTGTTTGGAATCTTCTATCATTTTGAAAGCTTCTTCCATATGTCAGTACGTGTCTACTCACCTAAGTACCTGAATTTACGTACACCCACGCTATCACCATATAAATTCCATTTTCAATGTTTAATTGAGTAGTAATCACATTCAGCTAATACAATACGAAAAAGTCTATCAAGCTACAATATATTACTACAGTCAATACAGTGACTGCAAATATATAATCAATATAGTCCGAAGGTGTTTGTTGTTAATCAGCTTAAATACGTGGGTGGTTGTAGACACAGTCCAAGTTATGTGTTAATGTATCAGAGCTCATTTAATAACCCCGTAGCTTAATGTTGACTTCATCAAACTATTCAAACAAATAGGCGTTGGCATATACTATATGTGGTTTCTCGACAACTATATTATCTGTGTTGTGAATGCAACAATTGCGATTTAAAATTTGTTGTTGTTATTGTTGACTACATTTTGGCTCGTCCGCTAACCCTTCGTTCAGCATTTACTAGGAAAGTCCCGTTTTAGTTCCAAGCAGACTGACAAGCTGTGTGTATACATGCGGTTTGTGATTAGAAGTAACATGTAATTTACTATATGTACATGAATCAGGTGCAAATTCTGTAGTTCATTGACCCATTCATGTGTTGTCAAGTACACTGTGTCAATATATAACCCACAACGGCGCTAGATAAACACACCTAAAACTTGCCAAATGTCAAATGCGCAGTTTTACTTCGTTAAATGTTTAGGGTCTCGTCCTCAGTCCCGCGGGTCATTAACTGCCGATAAATCCGTAGCCGCACTTTAACCATCAATTATATTGACATATAGTGGTGCTTTCAATAACATCATGTAGTTTGAACATATCGTGGCCATGGCGTGTCAAGACTCGGGGAAGAAACACAAACTTCGCACCAAAAAAATCAGACTATCATTATGTATTTACATTTGCGGGGGATACATCAGTTAAGAATATTGCTTAAAATAAAATAATCAGTTCCAGTCACATCTAGGGGTCTGAATTCACGTATGTAATTATGGGTAATTATAAACAGCACGTAGTAGAACTTCGGACGGGTTGTTCATCATTCTCCATGTTTGCGAGCAAGCGATGATTGTGCAGTCGAAAATTCTCAGGTCTATTTTAACAAAATAATGAGCGACCGAGAGCGGAAATAAGAACTCCACTTGTCCCCCCATGGTGATGCGTGCCTTGCTGTGACATCGTATTCTCATGTTTTTTTTCTCTTATCAACTCTGTTTGAGTAGAGCGAGTTTAAACGATGAAGAATTATAGTTATAAGTAAGACAAAAAGAAAGATGTTTATTAAATTTATCTAACTCGAATATGTTGGTCAAATGTTGATCAGTGTGGTGCATTCGCAATGAATACGATATCACCGGCTGTTTGCTTTTTAATGCAATGCCATCTACGTATATCAATATACAAACATATTAGAAGCGAGTAGTACACTATAGTAAATCAAGTGTTAATGTATTACAACTTACTGAACTATGTGTCTTTTGTAGCGGCGCGACGTCCCCAGTAGTCTCTCCTAGACAAAATAAATACAACTAAGACAATCCCAAATCCCAAGATCCTGGGATGAGATTTCTCACAAGAGTTGGAAATTTTTTATTTCACACAAGCCGCAGACCCAGGTCACGTGACACATTTTTACTTTGCTAAAAAAACACAAAGACTAGGATCGAGTGTCTGACAGACACGCTGCTTATTGTGATCGTAGAAACGAAACGAAACGGGATACAGTTATGAATATTTTACGTGTAGGACACTTGTTTTGCTGATTACAGATTTCCGTTTATCTGTAATTAGCGAAACGAGCCATTTACGAATTAAAATATTGTTATTTTCGGCAAATATTTTGTAAATATTGTGTGTATAAAACCCATTTACTCTGATTACAATTTATTAATTATTATGTTTGTCATCCCGTTTCGTTTCGTTTCTTCGATTACTTTCTAAACTAGATTTCCGTAATTTATGCTTGAGCTATTTTATCTATAATTTTGATCATGAATACTCCCAAATTAATCATTATGCAGGTCCTGTGTATAGTCGAGCGGAGCGACGTCACTGAACGTTCTATGTGGCTAAAGCGCGATTCAATTTATATGGGCTCTGCGCGAGCTACTGTGGAACACAAGTCGAAGAGGTAACTGTGTGACTAGTCTCGTACCTTTAAAGTTAGTAAAAGTTATCTTCTAAGTGAATTACAGTTCCCACTTCTATGCTCTCCACATCACATTCCAATCACTCATTCGTCTGCCCCACGTATGGAACAATAATTCAATCGTTCACTCATACTGACTTTGAATATTGCGATTAACGTATGCAATTCATATTATGATGGCAAGTTTTATTACTTTATCGTATACTCGGCCATACTTTGTATTATTATACTAAGGGTCGTGTTTCCCCTCGATCATACAGTAAAATTTGACTCCGTAATTGTCGAGTCGTCAAATACTATGCGGCATAAACTATTTATATGAAAACACTACGAACGTTAACAACTCGATTACGGTGTGAATTCGATGTCCAAACAGAAATTACGGCAGTTTACGTAAAATTTAACTGCACAATATTCCGTATCACATTTCGAGTGTTATAACTATGTGTAACGACTTTTACCCCGACATTCCATTGCACCAGGAACACCCAAACATTCAAAAGTTATTTTGTATCCGATCAGAAACTCCCTAAATTATTACGATAATTATCGACTAAACGTCATAGTTCTTCATTCAATTATGAAGCGTTACATGAACTCCGATCAGAGCGCGCCTAGTGCTAGCTAGTAGTGTACTCATTTAGCAATATTTGTTCTACAGCACAGATAGACCGTGAAATCGTGTAAGATGAAAAGGTTATTACACGACAACCCAGTGATATCACGTCGTTTCACCTTTGGTATTTTTCGCTTCACCGAGATCATTGGTACATATAACGCAATATCACCGGGATGTCGTGTAATAATGACTAGTTATTATATTGAATATACTCTGGCGTGGTGTTTGTTCATTAGTTGTATGCCATAGTTTTTAATTAATACATGCTAAATAAATGTCTTTCAAATTTGAGATTAAAGTTGACACAAACAATGTTGTTGTGTCTAGATGTTGACTAATGCATTCGTCATCAAAGCGAGCATAGTGCCGACCGATTAATAACTAACAATTCTCTTACTTTTAATATTTAACGTAAGAAAATACTATAAATTACAACGTTACATTTGCTTCCATGCTGTTTTTTTTTTTTATTTGGAGCCCTGTAGGGGAAACTGTTTTACAACGAGAGCGAGATAGATCGATCTCAGTATAAGCGAAGCGAAGAGTCGTGAACACACCACATCGAATCACGTGTTCCAAATATGAAACTATACTTTGATTTCAACATGCAGCCGATTGTCGTTCTTTTGATTCTAATTCCTTGCAGTGTTTACACTAACATCATTCATGTAGATTTAGAAGAAACACGAGAAGAATGGCCATGGGAATTCGATCCTCCAGCAAGACCAGCGCCACCTGACTTGGAAAGCCCTGATAAAAAAACTTACGAAGACGACGGTGACGATGATGACTTATATGAATTTCGCAGAGATGTTCACAGTAAGTTGATTGATTATTTACTCAGTATTTGGGGTGTAATTCTCCAGCCCATTGCTACAAATAACAAGTTCCATAGTATCAAAATGGATTACGCGTATATATACCCATTTCATGTCTGTTCTTGTCAAATGATTCCAATCGCTTGGTCACGAGACAGCAATAGGTACGCTGCTCAGAATACCCAGTCTGCTCAGAAAAAGTGAAAACTGAAAAGTTGATAGAACTAACATTCAATATAATGATTGTCATGTTTGTTGTTGACATTTAGTTACGGTTCTGCTATCTAATTCCTGAATTTCCTTTCCAGAAGGTATGTGTTATCCTGGTTAAAGCAGTGTCATATAATTGCATGTTATGTACACTGCGATCTTCGTAGACTTACACCATTGTGGCTAATGTACAATGCGTTAGGTGCACAGCTATTCTATGTATTATATTTTTGATTCGATGATTTGGTTCATTTCAGTTAGTCAATTAATTTAGTACCTCATACCCATCAACTCATAGACTAAGTACAGAATTATTTATAAACATTATCGCATTCCCATCCCATATACAAATGTTTTCGACGCTGAAAAAACGATCTGAAAGAAATTTGTTTGGAATTTTTAAATAAAGTCATAGCAAAATGAGATATTGACTATGTTCATATTCATTATCGAATAGCCTGGACTGTGTCAACAATCATTCTTATAAATGGCATTTTTTTTACTAGCATGCTGCAGTTGCTATACTGATATATTTGAATGGTAGTATGTGATTCATTAATAAACTTCGCTGTATGGTTTTAGTGTCACGGTTTATTAGCTCTAATAATTAAATTGTGAGCACGCAGCACTACTGAGCAATACTGCATGTTTTCTCCAGTAATAACTGTGAACGTCGCCTTTATAATGTGTATCGGTAACAAAAACAATGAAACTGATCGTGACATTGTAGAACGGTCAGCAGTAGAGACAGAAACATCGTGTGCTTTCTTTTTGAAGGTGTTAGTTTATCGACTATCCACATCATGTTTCTGGAACGTTCTATAGTACTGGAGATCTTTTTGTCGACTCCACATTTAATGATGATTCTTTGGTAGTTTTATAGAGAAAACTATCTGGAAAAATAGTTTTCGTTGTTAATATCGATAATCAAGAAATGTGAAACAAAAACAAAAACTTTTCAGATCAAACGTGTTGTCATTTTGCTTTCTGTTGATCATAAAACATAATAGCATCTGGTTATAATGTATCGCTTGGTGGATCGAATACTGTAATATATATCATGTCACTGAGAAAACAACAGGAAAACGTCAGTATAACAGTTGCTCATGTGGTAACATAATATAACTTGATGCAATCGTCCAGGCGTACATGCGGTGTGGACGTCTTTTACACAAGAATGAACGATACGTCGATACGTCGTAACTTATAGCATCACGGTTATGAAAACAATTGGTTACATATTCCGATTGGCAGTACTGAGTTCTTTATTTCAATTATAATACATGAAGAAAATTGAATATATGTACAATGGTAACTTACACACATACCAGCAATCTCGTTCGCGTGATCGTGAATTGGTCGTTATTACTGCCCTGCTACCGTGTGATAATAGGGCTGATCGTGGTATCAAATTATCAATGATAATGCGACGTTTCAGTAGCTGGAAGCGCGCGTTAGTATAATAAGTTACATTTCAAAGGTATGTAATTTCGTTTCGTGGATTCACAAGGTAAAATAAAAGGTTGATGTACTATAATATTTGTTATAAGATATACCTTCTGTGTTTTAACAGTCATAGACGCATCAGTGTGAAATATTAACCTATACATTAGTGACACTTGCCAAGTTTATCGAACTAACTGCATTTTTTCCAAACTTTCAATACAGAACGCGAAATTCAATCTAGTACGTGTTTATTATGTAGAAAAAAAAACTTTTTTTCTGTCAATACATACAAGTTTATGATTCGCTGTTGTAGTCCCGGTAGTTTTGAGCGCGAGTGACATTTGTCAAATTGATTGCACCCTGTTAGAACGGGTTCTTCTTTTGTTCATTTCACTTTATAATTTATTCTCGATTAAACGCTTCGTTATTACTTTCTCCTCTAAAGGAAGATCTACTTATGACTACGGCGATGTTCTTCACAAGTCGATTCAGTTCTACGAAGCGCAGAAATCAGGTGCACTTCCAGCCGATCATCGCTTACCCTGGAGAAATGATTCAGCTCTTTACGATAGTGGATTGAATGGCGAAGATTTAACTGGAGGTTTTTATGATGGTAAATGAACAACTCTCCGAATCTATTTTTATTTTCATTCTAGTACATGAAACACCGAGATGCACAACTCATGTGTATAACAAGATGCATGGAACCCATATTTTAAAAAATAAGACAATATAAAAATATTCTCTCATTCTCGTTATATAACATTTTCTTAATATATCAAACAGATTGAAGAGATGTCTGGAATTAATAACAAAACGGACGCATTTCTATTTGTTAAAATCTTTTTAAATCAAATTCGTTCCATTGAATAGTCGTTTTTGAAATGGCCGTTTTCACCTTTCCCATGTATCAACTGCGCACAGAAACATGTCGATATATTTGTGAAACGGTTATGCCTAGATGGGAGGACCGATGATTTGCGAGATTTGAAGATTATTTCAAGGGGTATTAGCATATTTTCGAGCCCAGGAAAAACCGAATCGTTCACAGACGGCATGCTTTCTATTCAACGCAACGCGATGAGATGAAAGGTCTCGATAGTCTCGAACAATGATTGACAGGTTTTTTTTTCTGCACAGCGGGCGACCATGTTAAGTTTGGTTTTCCGATGGCCTACACAACTACAGTTTTGACATGGGGATTGCTGCGTTACAAAGATGCATATGAAGCCGCTGGTGAGCTGGAAAACATGTACAATATAATCAAATGGGCCACTGATTATTTCATCAAAGCTCACCCTACTCCAAATGAGCTGTATATGCAGGTAATATTTTGCTGCCAATATATGTTAGTTGCCGTGTACTTCCCAGTATCGTCTCGGATTTAAACTTCCATGTTGCGATAGAGGTTGCGCTATTGTCGCTCGATATTTTGCGTTTGAAATGTATTTGCGTTCATCATGCACAAACAATATGTATATGCATAATTAATGTCCTTAGGTCGGAGATGGAAGAATTGATCACTCATACTGGATCCGACCCGAAGATATGACAATGGAACGACCGCCATTCATCGTAAATTCATCGAACCCTGGTTCTGATGTAGCTGGTGAGACAGCGGCTGCATTCGCGGCTGCGTCCATAGTATTCCAGGAAGTAGGTACTGTTGAGAATTTGTTTTTTATATTCTGTGTTAGTTAATGCAGTATACATTTATAGATGATTAACCTGATTAACCAGTACACCTATTTTGCGATTTGTGTGTATGATCCTCAAACAGTGTTGTTTTCTTTTCTTCTCTACAGATCTAGCTTATTCAACTGAGCTATTGGCCCATGCCCTTGATCTCTATAGTCTGGCAAACAATTATCGTGGTGCATACACCTCCAGCTACTATGCGTAAGTACAGATTGCAATAGGTGATTTTCCGTACAATTGCGAGATCTCGCGAGATGCATGAAAGACGCGCGTCGAACGTCTGCCGCAAAAATCGAACGATTTGATTTTGAACTAGAATTTCTTTATTTTGCAGCTTACATTGACCGGCCGATCTTCGACAGAGGAATATTGCTTCCGAATACCCTCACTTAATCGAAATTGCCTATCATCAAATGTGGACAGCACATTATTAAGCATGCAAATGTCCCCGAAATACTTTCGCGTTTGTCGAATCCCACGCGATGTTTGACGCGACTACGACGCTATGACCTTTGTTTGTCCTGTTTTTACGTTCGATTTCACGCATTACGCGTGATTCTCGCAGTGAACGGAAAATGGTCTATTGGTAAACATTAGACTGATATTAATGGCAATGAATGTTATTAGGTGTATGTACGTTAACGTTCGTCGTTGCCTGCTGATTTGAATATGCTGGATGTTATGGCAATACCAGGTACTAAAACTGTGTCGTTTATGTGTGGATGTATTGTGAATTGCTCTCTAGTAATATTTTACTTCTCGAATTGTATATTTTTGAATAATAACCAGTGACCAAACCTGCCAAATAAACCTCTGACATCAAGGCAGATCGTTTCATTAATAACAGTCACCTATTCACCACAGCTCGTCGAACTATGGAGATGAACTGGCCTGGGCATCTGCCTGGATATATTATGCTACAGAGAATCTGACGTGGAAAGCAGAAGCCGAGAGCATGTATGCAACTTACATCGATTCAGTGGGCAACCCATGGTCGTTTTCCTGGGGAACCAAGAATGCCGGTGTCGCTGTAAGTTATAAACATGACATAAACATTCATTTCGTAGTATCATGCTGTATGGATAATATAACATATTAGAACATTTACTTATGTGGCATTGTTGTACGGGTCTCCGATTTCACATCCAGCATCATAATTTGGCAGGTTAATGCTTAATTTAAAACATCGTTACTATTTGATGCATAGTTTCTTAGAGAAAACGCATGGATGAACCAACATAGAAAATCCTACAAAATGGCGACGTATAAGAACATAATATATAATGGCTCCACAAATCACACATCTATTCTATGTATACCCGACACAAAAATTAGTAGTTTGGGAGAGTTAAACTGTTTTTACATCGCATTTTACTGATTTGCAAGAAAGCTTAGTGTTAGACAAGAAATAGTTGCTTGTGACCAAAATACAATATAGGGTTGGTCATTATTTCAATGAAGTAGTGTAAGTTTTTAATCGGATAACAAAATGCAGAACAAGAAAGTGGATGATAATCTTCTTGTAGAAAAACATGACATTGGCCTGTATATATCTAAACGCCCTAAGTGAAACTGCTGTACAAAATTTACACCATTTCGTTGATAATATTTACCAGTCTCGTAGATATATATATCTGTACAGGAATATCACAGCCTTTCCGATAATCTGTTTCTTCCATAACAATTTCAACAGCGATCATCATATCATATGTCTTATGCCAGTGTACCGTTTTCATTTACAACACAATCACAGAAAATAACAGTTACTGTGTAACTGATAATAACGTCATTGCATTATTTCACATCATATTTCAACGACAGCTGCTCATGTTCGAGATTACTCAAAACACTACCTATTCCAAGAAGTTGAAGAGTTTTGTCAATGGATGGTTACCGGAGAATGAGTTCCCGCACACGCCTTTGGGTCTTGCTTTTCGTAGCGAATGGGGTTCTCTGCGATACGCAGGTAATAACTGAATGTACACCCTGCGCCACAGTGCCCAATATATTACGTTGACAATTTTGTCACTTTTGTTAAAATTAGCACCGGGCAAGGGGTGTTAATTATTTAACATCTCTTTTTGTGTGTAATATGGAGGTGTAGATATATCATAGATATTTTGAATTCATACCATCAATTTGCTTTTTACATATTGATTTATATATATTTAATCACTGAACAGTTCTACATATTTACTAGTGTTTACAGTGTAACTAACTTTTCTGACAATCACTTTAATATCGTATAGTTCAGAGAGCATTTTATCTCAAACATAAACTGTATTTAGTTCGAAGCGATGTAACGGGCGTCATTCATTTAAAGACCCACTTTTCATATTTCAGCGGCCACTGGCATGTTAGCTCTTTTCGCATCCGACAGTGGTATACGAGCTACAAGGTTCAAAGACTGGGGAAAACAACAGATAGATTACATGCTGGGTAACAGTGGCAGGAGTTTTGTTGTTGGGTTTGGAGTTAACTCTCCTCAATCCCCCCACCACAGAGCAAGGTACTGAACAGATTTTGTAGATGTAACGCGTAAACGAAATCATCACAAGACTATCACTTTCCAAAATTCCGAATTACCTCCTGAGTTTGTAAAAAAAAAAACAAGCGCAATAGAAATAGAGAATAGTGCTAGTGAAACGATACGCAAATTAACATGGAAACTACCTAAAAATAGAAAATGAACCACTACACCATCTTAGTAGTTGAATAGTCAATCAAAATGATTCACAGTGTAATACTGCATGCGACATTTTCGTTCAGTTTAGCATGAATTGATCACAAACTGGGCCAGGAGCAATGACAAAATAAATCGTTTTATTTTTAAATCAATTAAGTGACTTCGCTTAACACATAATCATCTGCTGTCTCCTTAGCTCATGTACGGAGGAAGTTTTTGGGAGTACTGCTCTGAACTCGCCGAATGTGAACCCTCATTTGTTGGTAGGGGCACTGGTCGGTGGGCCTGACAGCCAAGATAACTACGTTGATAACAGAAAAGACTACGTAAAGAATGAAGTTGCATGTGATTACAACGCAGCTTTTCAATCAGCCGTGGCAGGTACGTCAGTCATCACTAGTATTTAAGAGATGGGTGGAAATTAAATTACATCGTCGAGCGGTTTACTTGTATCCCGCCCATTACCCGGCATTTTAGCTCTGGATAACTTATTCCGCTTTGAATTCTTTATCTCGCGTACGTTTATTTACCTACATATAAACAATAACAGACTTTTTCTTTCATTTCAGCACTGTTGCATATGGAACTAACTACGGTTTAACACGTATTGAAATCCATACTAAATAACAATTATAAATTATTATATCTCAATATCATAACATTATTTTGAAGCCAACTATAGAATTAAACGACGTATAGTCTAGAAAATTGAATCACGTGTTTGATTTTGTTTAGTATATGATTCTAATAATATCTCTACTCTCTTGTTTCACGGTCCTCAAGAAGCACTGAACACTGTTTCCACATCTATTGTTTTCATCAATGTCGATATTTTGATATTATTTATGAGTTTTTAAAAAAGAAGTTCTACTAGATGTTGTCCTGTATATGCATGATATCTGTTATCAACGTTGACATGGATTAAATGATTGTAATGACAGTCTTGAATTCGGCATATCAGAAAGCCTCTCATATAAATTGCGCCCTCATACCACAGCTACAACTCCGATGACTTCTCGCTAGAGGTCGCAATTTATACACAACTACTCGTACGATGAGTTCAATTTTAAAATGAATCAATATATACGTAAATATACTAAAGCTAATACAAAAAGCAGGGGTTTATTGTATACAGTAAATATAACAAATTACATCATAGTTTACACTTTCGACTCACGAGCGTATAGCTAACATAACTGAAGAGCAACGAAGAAAAAAAACAATAAACAGACGACTGATAGTCGAACGAGCGAGAGATTGGTATAGGGAGTTATGCAGGCAGGTGAGTCGATAATTCGGTATTTGTCAACATTGGCTTAACAAAGTCTGAGTGACGCAATTGCCTTAATCATTACTGTTTTTGAAATATTGAAAAAAAAAGGAACAACAAAGTTTCATTTCAGTAGACCTCAAACCAGGTTAAGAATGGATTGAAATTTTGAGGTCATTGTGGTCAGTTCTTGGTGGAGCGCGCTGTAATATTTTTAATATAAATGTCAAATAGTTTATCAAGAGATCATTTATATTGTTTTTTACTGTGAGTAAAATGTTTGGAGCAAGTATATGTATTGTCTTATTACTGTAACAAAACAACTCGGAATTGTACAAAGTGTGCCGAAATTTTGCGGGGTATTTTCATCCTATCATATAAGGAAATGCAAATTTCAAATATGCAATGATTACGCGCGTAAGCGTCCTTTAATGATGAAAACAAACATGGCTGCCACCAGAGTTTGATCGGACTCGACACAAATAAGTTCGCTGATTCTGTTCCAAACATTTTGGATTTCGACATTTCCATGGTGTATCCTTTGAAGGAAAAGATGTATGCGCGTCGGTCGATACTCCAGCTGTACTGTCTTCGTGCATACTTTGAGGTATTCTCGTAATAACCTCGTAGTATTATACTACAGGTAAATAAGTGTATTGGCGTGGCCCACAGTGGGAAGTATAGGGGTCTCTCAAACTAGAGATAGTCTAGTCGTGATACTACGTTACCAACCATCCGATAGTTTGTAAATAAACGTTACCTCTAGGGAACTCTGACCATTAACATATGTCTCCAGTTACTTGTTATTTAGTCTAATGCTCTTGCAACATTGACGTTTTCAAAGATGAGTGCATCGTAAGAAACTAGACACTTCCTCCCGGGGCGATAGTTTTGTCACGTACATCCACTATATGTTCATCAAAATCCGCTCTGTCCCACACTTTATTGTAGTCAGTTGATTGTGGTAAAACAATAAAATAAATGTTTCTCTGATTTATTTGTGACATTTGCTCCTTTGCCTTCTGTAACAGACCATTCTGTTATCAGGTACGACGGGGTGTAGGTTTAGGTTCAGGCTTCTAACTACCACCCCAAGTCTCCAAGGAAGTATTCCAAGCTGTTATGTAATCATTGAGATAAAAAATATGAAGCTGTACAAAAAAAAAATTACCCACTGGAGGGTGGATTTATTTCTTGTGACCATGTCATTGTAGGTACAACAATCATTTCTCATTCAAGTGTATATATTTGATTTGTTATGGTAATTTGAAAGTAATATAGTGGTGTTATGCTTCATTCCGTGTCAGGTGACCAGTATTTTCACGCCTGGAATAATAGAAACACGAAGATATCACAATATGATGTAAAATGTACAACCGACATGAACTCAAAATTAACCAAAAATTAATTGTAGTCGATTAGTGAGTGTTAACAATTAAACGTCGTTTTAAAACTCAGATGAGTTGTACCACCGACTGTACCAATGCTTAAACATGTTGGCAACATTATTTGGGAGAATATGTCAAATGCTTGTTGGGCTTTATCTAAAATGTGATTCTAAGTATGAGCTACTTTTGTGAGGGGGACACGCTGTGTCGATACGTGGTAGTAGGTTGCCAAAATATTCAAACGAAGAGGAAAAAACATTGGAGTGTACACGGCAGGTGACGGCGAAACTGTGGATGTAAAAGTCGGTGTGTTATATATAGTGTTATGTATGATGCCAACATACCAGTACAAAATATAAATATGTATTAGAAATAGATCATTTGGTACATAATTGGTACAGAATAATTAGTTTCATAAACATTACCGGAAATCTTCATGAACGTTTTGGCACAAACTGAAAATAAACATATTTGCGTTCCATCCTCGGTGTGTGCCGAATTCAGATTGGTTTTTGGATGAATTCACATAAAACTAATATTATATTTAGAGTAAACTCGACAAAAAAACTTAACCATCTGGTTATTCTACTCATTCTTTTGTGCCGCTGTACTCGAGTTGCGTGGAATAATGTATTCTGGAAAAGGATTAAGGTAATTTAAGTTGATTTGAAAGAAATATCACACTGACTACTTGTAATTCGCTATTTGTTACTTTGTGATGGGCGGAGGCTTAGGCATGTGAATAAACTTAACTTTAATGGAATCTGTGTGCCCCGATACGGAATAAAGAAACAAACGTTAAACACGGTCACCAGGATAGCGTTTCTGATGTCTTGAATACATACTTTTCTCTGCAAGATGTTACTTCACACACCTTTTCACTTTTTTGATTAATTTAATGGTGAATAATCCGAGTACATGTTATATTCTTGTATTTTGCGATTCTCTCGTATTTTTTTCTAGATTTCCATCTTATTATCAATTTCCAACATCTTCACAGCAATATCTCGATCCCGGGCTCAATATCTCCTAGTTATGGGGTATATTTTTCCCAACGTTTTCCGTAGTACATATACAGACTAGCCTTAACATTCAAAGGGTGTATTGGCAGATTTGATGAGCTTAAATACAATAACAATACAATAATTGGTGTCAGTCATGTGTTTTGTGGTTCTTATACGACTTTTGTGTAAAAATATTTCCGCTTTCTGTCTGGCTCGTTCCAGAACGATCAGGTGGGGGTTTCGGTACGTGCTTGCTAACACGTGCGAAAAGCATTAATATTAATGAACTAATTATTCCGGGAACCAATTATGAATGATCTGCCTCAAATACATATTTATATTTTATACTGGTATGCTGGTATCATGCATAAAACAACAAAGCATATACTATATATAACACACCGACATCTACATACTGAGTTTTGACGTCTTCGTGTGCGCTCAACTGATTCGGGAATTCCGTGAAATCTCCTGTATAATATTACATGGATGGAGTGGAATTCCCGGTGTCGATGAATTAGCCAAAAAGTGAAATATCAATGTTAATGAAATGTGTCGCATTCGTCGATTCAACTTGTTACTGTTATTCAATACTCTGTTTATCATCGGAAACACTGGTCATAATTTACTGTATTAGGGAAACGCTAAATACCTGAATGGTAAAATCTGTCTCCGATAGTTTAAGTTATCGTGTTTTTGTGGATTTATATAGTTTCGTTTGGCTCATTGAAATTACTGATTTTTACTTACATTTTAAATCGTTCTACCCTCCTCCGTTTTTTCAGCGTGTCCTGTTACAACACATCTCATATACAGAAGCATATTTTATATTAAGTGTTTTTCCAACTTTTTTAATTAGTGGTACAACTAACTTGATTCTTAAAATGGTATGGCAGCTGCTCCGTCTTTATTTGTTTTGCTAATATATGATCGACGACTTTTAACACTCACTTATTAAATGAAGTTGACCAGGATCGGTTGTATATTTTTGAAGTTGACTGGAAACTAGATCTAGTACGTGAATGTAATCAAATATCGGTGAAATACGCTATTTTAATTTGAATTAATATTAGTAAAATTAGTTGATGAAAGGGCATTTTTAAGGTAACAACCTTCCGCGAGAATTACGACCGAGTGGTGGAAATCGACAAGCGGGAGTTGCAAAACTTGACCGCTTTTTGGACTGAGTTCTGTTTATCCGAACGCTTGGCTCAGTTCAGATCGATTGTTGAAAAAAACGAATTCAAAAAAATAATACATATTTAATATCAATACAACATATAATAAATGTTTACCCTGTAAGTTATTATTACACACACCTTTTCACATAGACTTGGTTGTAGCCTCTGCGCTACTGCCGAAGAACGCCCAGCGAGCCTGAGCCACGGAGTGCAGTACTCAGGCTGACAAATAGGAACGAAAACAATATACGCGAGGAACTGAGGCTTAAAATATAGATTTCTTCTCACTTTATCGATTTATTTTTATGGCGAATAAATCCGAAAACATGCTATATTCTTGTATTTTGCGACTTGCTAGTATTTTTCCTTCGGGGGTGATGCATTTGCACGATTGGGTGTTTACATCACGCCCTCTCGGACGACAACATACATGTTGCCCCCGTTTCCTAATTAACTAGATCACTATTAGTGGTATCAATTATGTCAGATACACATGCGCCCGATGATTTAAAAAAATGGAACGACTTTACCAACGCGTAATTTTTGTAGAGGGATGCGGGGGGGGGGGGGGTCGACTGTGTCAAATTATTTTCGTGTTCAATGTCAAAAGTAATCATATTATAAATACCAATAGACCATTTTCCGTTCACTGCGAGAATCACGCGTTATGCGTGAAATCGAACGTAAAAACAGGACAAACAAAGGTCATAGCGTCGTAGTCGCGTCAAACATCGCGTGGGATTCGACAAACGCGAAAGTATTTCGGGGACATTTCCATGTTTAATAATGTGCTGTCCACATTTGATGATAGGCAATTTCGATTAAGTAAGGGTATTCGGAAGCAATATTCCTCTGTCGAAGATCGGCCGGTCAATGTAAGCTACGAAATAAAGAAATTCTAGTTCAAAATCAAATCGTTCGATTTTTGCGGCAGACGTTCGACGCGCGTCTTTCATGCATCTCGCGAGATCACCAATTCCAATGCAGCCTCACTCACTTACAACCAGTGACACTCCCGTGTAGGATATGATGTAGTTTATATGCGTCGACCGATGGGTGGTGTCCAGTGTTTCATATCAAATCAAGTGACCCTTACTGAGAATCCGTAGAAGTCACGTTTCCGAGTTCCGCGTAACGGGAATGTACACGGAAATGTACACACATCAAACGACTGTACGGCGACATTAGGTCATTGACCACATACATACTATAACAGATTTGCGTGATGTTTTGACTCGACTGCTTGGAAAATATTAACAGTTTTAACCTTATAGTCGCCACGCAACCCAATAAAATTTCATGTATTTGTTTTTACACGTGCTATAATACGTTACATTACATTGGACTTACACTGAACACGGCGACTGAGGAGCGGCATCTGTGGTGCTTTGTGTTACAAACGCGTTAAAGAACGCGTCAAATCTTTAACAACAAAAACTGTTCTGGTTTGCTTACTGATCGTTTTTCCAACGGCAGCAGGTGATTTAAATTCTTTATTGTGGCTGAGCACTTCGAGTCTCCCGACATGCAATGGAGGATTATTTGACGTTTGAAATTGATTACTAACGAAGGTGCGTACATAACGAACATAAATTATTGGACTCGTGCCATATTTATATAGAGTTGTATGTTCATACTGAATCATTACGTTTCGTTGAATGATATTAAGAAAATTTACGCATGAACAAGAGATGGTCTGACATCGTACTACAGTGAACTATAACAACGTACGACCCACAAAACTGTTTGATATGAAGTCCCTTACAATGTATATGTATATATCCCACTAAACACGTTTTATTTGACGTAGAATGTGCCGCTGAATGTTGTAAGGCGCGAAATTTTCGGCCTAAAAGTTTTTTTTCTAAATCATTATGCGTGTCGTGTCTTCGTGTACATGTTTTATACCACGGGGATGTATATAGGATTGTACCTTCAAAGAATGTACATTTTTAAGCCGGGGATTCACGCCATGCGTATAAAAATAATCCTTCATCATCAACAAACTTGATTAATGGCTATTTCGGTGAGGAAATGGTTCGTACCATAGAAAACTACTGACAAAACACACCTCTATGATATTGCTCGGCTAGTAGCCTCCTCTCCCTCCCTCCCTCCCGAGGGGTTTCATATTTTACCGGAGTTCCTCGGTGACACGTGGTGGATGTAGCATAGTTTCTTACATGTCTCTTCAAATCTTATTACAGACGACGTGTTCACCGTAATGAACATTGTACTTTGTTTAATGGTAGCGCTACAACTACCTACCAGTATAGACCTGTTAAGAGCAGGCTATATTTACACGACCAGTGTATTCCGGTTACGGAGCGAGTTCTAGGAACCGTCGTTTATGATTTCATAATTAGTCGGTAATCTATATTTACAACATAGTGACAGCTAAACAGTTAATATAAGCAAGAAATCCGTCGGTGTACGGCTCAAATAAAACGACTCAGAGTACGAACTCACTATGTCGGCAGCAATGAAAATTGAACGCAGGCTCACTGCTACGCAAATGACGAAAGAGACACGAGGCGCGAAACTGCCTTTGAGAAAACAGGTAAGAGTTTTTCCTTCAATAGTAGTCAGACTCGTTAACTATCATTCGATTCGATTCAATTTTACACGTCGTACTCGATGCAAAGAATCATTCTCGTATTAGCAAGAAAAAGCGGCTTTGCCATTCACCGTTTTTTTTTTTTAAACTTGACAACACAAGTTACAACGTGTGTCGCGCTACAAACTTGGCGGGAATATTAGAGATTTGTCAACGTCTATCTAAGAATTAAATACAGGCTATATGAAATGTATTTGTATTTGTATATGTACTTTTAAGATTATACATCATTTGTGGCACACATCAATATCTACGTGTACCTAACGTATACGGGATTTTGAAGATTATCGGTCACTAAAGACCTCAGAAAACTAGGGTTTTTTTAGCTCGGGCCGTCCGGGATGTTTTCTACCCGCACTCCCTGGAGTATCAACAACCCAATTATGCAACACCAATTATTAACTATGATGATATTATTATTATTTTCGTGACAGATCAGGACAACGTATTCCTTCTTGAGACGTGCAGTTGTGAAGTCGACAAATATTGCATTTTCGACGGCGTCATCGTCCGCAAGCAACACGGGGAATAACGATAGGCTAGAAGAGAAAAGAATGAGCTACAAAAAGAAATCCTCGCGATTAAAAAGATCGATCAAAGCAATGGTAAGCTTAGGTTTCCATTTTTAAAAGAAGCGACACGATAACAAAACCAAAACAGGAAAATTCGTTTACACATCAGATAAGTCTATGGAGTATTAAAATCGAGCATTTTCATTCGTCAGGCCGGCGCACTGTGACGTCATTTGTTTACAGTTTTGCCAACCTGCATACGAATGTCTGATAACAAATATCGCTTACTGGTGAGCACTAGCTAGCGAACTTGTGTAACAGCGTCGACCCCTACCCTGGATGGGTGAGTGTGCCACAGACTCAATGGGAAGGCCAATTCCACTGGCCGAGAATCAATCACTGACGAATGCGACTTTGGAGGTCCGAAGGGGCTTGTATTCGACCGGGCCTGGTTGACGCCAGGATAGCGCATTAAAATTGACATTTGATAGGGAGATGGCTACACAACCCAGTCACGTAGTCCCAAAAAGTCAGAAGAGACAACAGTGACATTCAATGTCTGGAACTGTCGCCTGGCACAAAAACATTAAAAAAAATAAAAATAAAAATCTTAAATCTTAAAACTGTGGATTATGACTCGAAATATGACTAAAGTCATGAGAATCTTAAGATAATACGTAATATTCTCGGGAAATCACGTGATACATACACACACTATATATATATATATATATATATATATATATATATATATATATTATGGCCCCCTCTAGCGTCTCATCGCATAATTTAAAAGGTGTGTACATGCATGACAAGAGTACGGCTCTAAAACGTACAACGAATTGTTGTTTCCGATTAGTTAGTAATATACGCACAGTTTTGTACTGGTTCAATAACGCGAGAATACCATGCGATACCCTGATACGTTGGCATTTCCCCGGTGTCAAGTGCCATGGCTGAAATGAACACTAGCTGAACACGCATGTGCTGCTAAGCCTCTCGCTTACACCATACAGGACGATCTTATGCGGAACAGATTACGCAATTCTCTGTATTTTCATTTTAAATTAGCGTTTTATTAATTACTGGCATGCACATTTAGTTAGACTACAGTAATATTTTTTATAAAATACTTGAAAACAAAAACTAGTGGCAATTGCGGTTGTGACAAATTATTGTAAAACTAAAATAAAACATACTGTCACTGGTTTTTAATTTCGCTATTTTCACTGATAAGTTAGAATACGCTAAATGTTAATGAACATGAAGATGTGAAATAACAATAGAACTAATTGTTTTCTTGGTAAAATCGTGAACCTGAACCCTAGTGATCATCAAAATAGTGAAATTAAAAGCCAGTGGAAAAAAATGGTTGTACAATACTACTTAGACCTGAAAATAGGATTCAAAACTGAAAATGAAACGGAAAATATATGATATATATCAACATGATATAATAACTTATGAACCACATAGGTGCGCATGCACTTTGAATTAATGGTACGTACCAGTAATGATCTTTACATTGAAAGTACGTACTCGTAATTTAAAAGCTCGTGCGTACATTTGTGTAGTTCATTATTCCATCGATTGAAATTCCACAATCAAAAACAAAAATACAAAAAAATCATCCATATGATGTTGCATATGCATGGCGTCACATTTTGTGGAGTGACGTCATGCGTACGAAATGTCTATTTTATGTGTGATGTATTCGCCATTAAAACATGACTACCATATATGCGTAACTCGCATCGGTGTGGTAAAACTAAAAAAAAGTCACTAACAATTTATATATATATATGTTAGTATTAGAGCACAAAAATAAAAGGAAAAGTTTAGGCAAGCCAAATATACTCTTTCAGAAAACTAGCGTCATAAGCAATGTCTAAATATTCAATAAATTCGAAACATCGTTTCAAATTTCGATTATCAAATGCAAAGTTGAGTCCATTTAAATACGATATCTGCCGCAAGCACAAGACACGGAGACGTCGGTCAGCACGGGTTCGTACTGGCGAACACCATTGATGCAGACCTCTGTTTTCTGAAGTACCCAAACGCTTCGAGTAACGCGTTCACACTCCCAGAATGGATGTTGACGGCTTTGTAGAAAATCTGTAATACAATGGGCACACGCATAACATTTCACATCAAGCATGGTTCGCGGATACCTCGACACATCGGTGGTCTCTTCGTGGTAGAACGGGCAAGTTGAACGCACTTGTAACGGAGAACCACTGCCGTACGTTAGAGGACAGGAGGTGTCTGATGGCACGCTGTTTGAACCGCTGGTTGTACTAAAACCCATTCCATTAGGAGAGTAATTTGCCAAGATCTGACTGAGTTCTGCTTCCGTTGGCTCTTGGCAGACAGGCGTTCCGTGGACATTCAGCGCAGCACACGACATGACAATCATCTAAAGATAGGGATAGATAAAGTACATTTTAAACCACCTAAGAGGTACTGAGGGCATGTGAGGTTTCGGGTCACGGTGATTCAGCTTGTTATTAAATGGCTTTGGTGTTTTTTTGTTTGTGTGTTCTGTATTGTAGATTTTCTATCTCATAAGCCTGATTAATATTGATACAATCTCCAAAATAGTCCTTGACATTGTACATTTCCTGATTATTAATTCGATAAGAATCTACTGAAATTGTTTTGTTTAACATTCTAACGGTATTGACGAGATACTGTGATCACGCGGTACGATGGGAAATTTTAAATAAAAACAAAAGATCAAAACGGAAGCCAGGATCATTGTCATGTATACACCCAGACTTAAAGATGACCGTCGTAGAATAATTACATTATACGAGTAGCAGAATAAACAAAATATCCCAAATTTAGCAAGTAACAATGTGTAACAGTGCGTTCGACTAAGTACCGCGTCCGCTTCTAGAAGTATATTACTGAACAGATCAGACTGACTTTGATTCCACCGCCCACAAAATATATCCTAGGCTATTCTGATACAAAACTCTGCATTAAATTAATCATGGCTGCGTGACGGTTGAGATGTATACACTTATATCTAATTACTTGTCTCCGTTGAATTACCATCAAATAATAATTCCTAATATAGTCATCATATATGAACAAAGTATTGTCAAACTTCAAGTGATACGCATTGTGTTTTAAGGGAATATACATACACGTCAGGTAACTTGCATATGTGTATATAATTACCATAATTAGCAATGGGGAGAATGCGGCTAATTATAATCACATAATTGATTTAGTAATATGTAAATCACTGAAAGAACCACTTGATTTAAAATTGTCCTTAAATATTGGGGAACTAACAAATCTGATATTATATTAAAAGTCCGTGTATATCTAAACTTGTTGGAGGAGTTTAATCACACCAGCTAACCTTAACCAGAAATATCGTTCGTTGACAACTTCTTCAGTGAAAGAAACTAGTGTTCTATGAGCGATGACAGCGTTCAAACAACGCCGGTATAACCAGCATTATTGAAAATTTCGCTAATTAAAACTGTACATTCGTTGTATCGTGTCGTGCACGACGTGGGTCCCATGTGATGGGTACCGCGAGTGTGAAATGCATTGTTAGTTTCGACAAAATTTCACATCTACTTGTAAATTTGTGCGAGGTAAGTAATACAATAAAATAAAACTCAGTTGGTTTTAAAGTTGTATCAAACAGAAAAAAATACATGTTACAAGCGTTTTGTGATTTTTAGATTCTACTAATCAGAAAGTTTACATGTTAAACATAAACAGCTAAAATAACAAGGAGTGCATTGTTTTTGTTTCATATGCCAAACATAAGTTCTTCTCGGTTAACAATAAATTGCGAATTAACTAGTATTCGCGTTTACTTACCACCATGAAAATTTTTCCATTCCACTTGCAGTCCATGATAATTACTTAGAAAAATCAGCTTCGTTCGTTGGTCGCGCTTCTGTTTGCTTTCTAGGGCTTCTCGAGATATGCTGTGTATCTCCATAGCTCGAGACTTTATATCCCGGTGTTCCAAATTTCCTGTTAACTCATATTACAATTCCGATATAACAGATTTAAAACGGGAAAATGCCACCGTTAAAACACCTGTCTGGGATAAGAATAGTTCTGTGTCATTGTACAAAGCAAATTCAAACTAAATCGTAAATGACAAACTGGGTTGTCGCAATAACAAACTTGGTACAAGATTTATAGGGACAAATTTGGGATTGGTTCATATTTCACCTAACGGTATTTTTAGAGGCATGTAAAATGAGAAGTTGGAACGCATAGAAAGTCAACTTCTGCATTCTTCCCGTTACTTTCACCCATTTTGACAATCGCGTCAATTTTTAAGTTCGGGTGATTCCCCCTAACTACGCTGTCACGTGGCTTATTCACTTGATACGACGGTAGAATCAAACAAGTGGGTGCGATGAACAATAGACGAACAACGGACAACTAGCGTTACCAAGTATTCGTGTACGTTTTACAAAGTATTGTACTTGATAAGGAAATCATTTAGAATCTCTGTGAATAAATACATTTGTTCTTTCACCTCTGTAAAAACTCAATAGAAAAATCGTGTAAATCAAAGAGGTCCACGTGATCACAAATACAAAGATGTGGGCAAAGATATTGATGCAATGGAAAAACGGAACTCATGTCTGGAAAGTTATCACATACAAGTTATCATGTTACTTGAACGCTTTGATGGCTTTTTAATGCCCGCTGGGTTAGACCAACATGCAATTACTGCTCCATGAGTCGATAATAGTTCAATTAGTCTGTACGCTCTGCTGTCGGTGTGGTAGGGATTCTGGGATTAGAGATAAATCTCACCTTGCAAGTTTGAGCAATTAATTGCATGTAATAATTATATGTTTTTATTCAGAGCATAAAAGCGCCACTCTGGAAACTATTAATATATGTTCGATAACATATGTTTGCAATTCATAAGAATTCACGCTATATGATATCTAATCATTCGTCGTATGGTGGGCGTCAATCTGTTTAAAATAAGTTTTGGCTTTTTTTGTATATTTATTTTATTTTATTTTTATTTTATTTTTCAAGTTGATGTTTTGGTAATTGCGAAAGCGAACAAGGTATGTAGGGTCGAATTAAAAAAATCACAAAATCAAAGTAAAATAATAAAATAAAAAGGCATTAATAACAAAAGTAATAACAAATAAAATAAAA